GGGCTTGTAGCTCAGATACATGTTCATCCCCAAAGAGGTTAAGAGGTTTAACAACTTATGAAAAAAAAATAGATTTAAAAATAAGATTAGTGGTGTGTATTAGTTGTTAAAAAAATATTAAATATATTACAACATGCATATCAAAATTAAAGTTGTTATTTTTAAGAAATAATTTCTTTTGAATATATATGTAATTTAATATCAAAACTAAAAGAAAAATGTTAAAACTTTGTTATATAACTTCAAATAAAAAGTATGGAATATTTTTAATACCGTAGGGGATAATAAGCTTTCATCTTTTCTAAAAAATGCGAGATTTATTGTAATTAACTTTTACCTCTATTAGTTTTTCTTGGTAATTACTACTTGAAATTGCTTATTTACGTTGTGGTGGATAATTTTTTTTTAATGTTCTAAATTTTTGTTTAGTGGTCATAATTTCTTATTATAGTTTGATTTTTTTAATGAAATGAGCATTTATTTGGTATATATATTTTTATAGTAATGAATTAAATCATACATAATTTTGAAATACAAAAATATGTTATATGACACATGTATTTCAGTAACAAATACATTTGAAATGATTATCATCTTATTTTAATATAACCAATACTAAAATCCAATAAAGAAAATCCAGCATGATTGAATGACAGTAAGACTACCAACCTTTTGCATGTGAAATAATTTTTTTGCAAATATTTATACCACAACATAAGGAAATGATTTAATTTAATGTATTAAAATTGGAAAAGATTACAAAACAATAATAAAACTGATTGTCACTGTCCCAACATGTAGAAATTGCAATGATTATTAATTAGTTATTAGTTTATTACTCTCCGCATATTTAAATGTCAATATTTTAGCTAGGTTTAATTTTATAAAAATAACCTTAGTGATGTTTCTAGTTAATACATCGATCTAGTATATACTCTATATTCTATATCACAAAATATTAATCATTCGGTAACGGTGATCATTGCAAATTACGAAATACCAAAATATGGTCCCCAAGTATTTAAGGTGTCTTATTATTATTATCTTTTCAAATATTTGACTAATTATCACTTTTTTTCTTGGCAAAAAGAGGGCACAATAATTCAATTCAATATTCTCCCACAAAAATGGCACCCAACCATAAAGAAAGAACCAAGAACCTATAACCAAATTAAAACAAACATATCATACCACTGGAATAATGGATTTCTTGTCATACCCAACTTACCATATTCCAAACACATAACAACAATTATTTTTTCCTAGAAAAACAATTTTAAAATATTGCAAAATATACCATCAACCAAGCCACGAACTACTTAAAAGGGTAATGTTGGAGATCATTCATGGTTTTTAGTGCCTTTAAAGTTGTGACACATGGATTTGGAATGTTGGTGACACCAGTTTTTCAGTTATTGAAGCTAGAAAGATCATTGATGACAACACTCTTTTGGATGGGCCGTTTTCGAAGAGACTGAATAGATACATGCCTAGAAAATTCAATAATTTCTATTGATAACGTCGGTTAAATAAATTCCCTACTCGTGTCAATTAGGTATATGGAGGTATTGACATTCCTTCCACTCTTTGATTGCCTTGTGGTTTGCATAAAGAAGATACGAGACCCACGACTTTATGGAGATTCTTCAAGAAGTTTGTGCGACTTCGATATGCCTCATTTTGTAGATGTTCAAGTTGTGAATTTGATTGACGTGATCCAAAATGACTTTTGGTGTAACTTTTACATGTAAAGTCACAAAAAGTCACAAAAAAATCAGGTTTTTGTGACTTTTTAAAACTCCTTCTTTTCCTCTATGCAAAAAGTCATTTTCAAAAGAACTTTTTTTATTATCCAAACATCTTTTGGCTTTTTGAAAAAGTTAAAGTTAAAAGTCATTTTAAAAGCAATTCCAAACACCCCATAGTCACCATGAAAAGGCATTGTCTTTAGGAAATCACACTGTTAGAAGGGATTGTTTGATTGATTTGATTTTAGAAGGATTCTTTGATTGATTTGATTGTTCTTATTTGTGGTATGTCAATAGGAATAGGAAGGCAAATGTTGCATGGGAAGATTGGTTGAAAAATATGACTATTCCTTTGTAATCCTTTTTTAGCTATTTGCTTCCGTGTTAATATATAATGTTCAAAAAAAATTGAACCCTTTGAACCATCACATGTGGGTAAATTGTGAAGCACTAACAAAACTACTACTACTTAGGCGTTTTTTTTTTTTTTTTTTTTTTCTCTTGTAGAGTTTTATGTTCAGGGAGAAAAGAATGACAAATAGGTACATGAGAAGTTCCATAATCATACGTTAGTGCAAATATGTGGTTTTCATAATCAATTCCTTGGTCGAGTATTTTTCATATTAAGTAGTGTCATTTGGATTGGGTAAACCATGGACACAAAATACGTTTTCAAAGATTGTATGCAAGTGGGATGAGTTAAACATTGACCAAGAAAGAAATCAAGAAAATAAGAGATGGAAAAAACAAGATTCAATTGATCAAAAAGAATTTACTACACATTGTAAATGTTAATCTCAAAACTCATACAATAAACTAAAATCAACACAATTTGGGGAAGAACAACACCTACACATTCTTCACCCGGTTATATCTAAATCCTAAATTCCAAAATATACCCAAAAAAAAAAATCTTTATATACTCAAATTTCGTTCTCTTCTAAAATATTGAGAAAAATACTCCTACTCCAATATATGACAACCCTTGACAAAATCATTGGAGTAGTTAACGTATTTGGACCAAAAAGGGCGAAGATGTCCGAATCCTATTTCTAACCATGGTTTAGATTGACCATTGTAGTGGATCACAGCAGCTTTTTTTACATTTTTAATGTTAGTCTTGTTTTGGTAGCCTAATCCCAACATATGCCATGATTGGTCAATCCCATGAACATGACCTCTAAACGCAAGTAAAGCTGGAGGAAGTGTCCCAAGTCTCCATAATGTCAAATTCGACTTCAAATTCTAAAATTAAAATGAGAAATATAAATATAAAACATTGTAATTAATAGTGAGTTATATTATATGAATATGAATATGAATAATTTACCTGTTTTAACCAAGTGTGGTAGGTTTGTTTAATATTAGTGGTTCTCCATGTTTTTAAGTCAAAAATATTCATCCCATAAGCCCATGCGCATTCTTGAGGGTCTAAGTGTTTTGAGATTAATGGATGAGAAAAGTTGAAGTAGTTTTTAAAGCGTTTAGACATGACCCATGTGTCTTCACCTTTGCATGTTTCAACTGCTCCGTTGACTTTTCCACCAAGGTCAACATCCCAAAGTGGAGATAAGTCACGTTGTATCACAATGTCATCGTCTAAAAACACCACTTTTTCAAGGTTTGGGAACAGCTGAAGAGAATTAAGTATAACCAAAAATATATATATATATATATATATATATATATATATATATATATATATATGTAAGAAATAGAATCCTACTTTTATTTCTTCATATTAATTATTAATACATCATTAAATTAAACAAATCAATCAATCAAACTATGTTGTTATTGTATCAATATTATAGGATTGTTGAAAGGAATATAAGAAACAACACTTGTTCATTTGTTTGTGTATTACAACTTATGATATTGATATTTCAAAAAACTTTTATTGAAGGCAAAAGTATTTTAAAAAGTTGGGTTAATATCATGAAAGACTTTATATATTGTGTTTTTTTTTTGGGATTAAACCTTACCTCAGCTTAATTTTTTTTTCCTGAAATAGACCTTGCATTTTTCCATTTTTTTCAATTTGGCCTTTTTAGCTGTTTTTTTTCCCAAAACTTGTCACGTTTGAGGGTTTTTTCGGAAAAAATAAGGGTTAATCTCATAAAAGACCTTATATTTTGTGTTTTTTCCGGACTAAACCTCAACTTTATTTTTTTTCCGGAAAAAAACCTTGTATTTTTTCATTTTTTTCAAAAAAAACCCTCAACTTTGTATTTTTTTCTAGAAAAACCCTCAACTTGTTTAGTTTTTTCCGAAAAAACCCTCACATTCCGAAAAAATAAAATAAAAAGTTGATAATTTTTTCGGAATCAATTAAAAGGCCGAGGGTTTTTGGGATAAAATTTAAAAAGTTGAGGGTTTTTTCTTAAAAAAAAGAAATCGCAAGGTCTTTTTCAAGAAAAAAATAAATTTATATTTTAACCAAATAAACAAACCAATACAACAACATAAATTGTTCTGATTACCTCTGGCAAATAAATGCGAAGATGATTCAACAACAAAATATACTTCGGGCTTCTCGCCTGCAACTTGGACGCAAATACCCTCGGTGAAATCCCCAAATTACCCCTAAACTCCTCCATTGAAACATGATTCCCATTATAATAATAATCCCTAACTCCATCATGACTCTCCACAGCTTCAAGAACAGGAACATTGTCTCTGGTCAAAAAGTCAAACTGATGAACACCCTTCACTTCAACAATGGCAGGAGATGGAGAATTCAAAGCAAACCATGAATGCATTCCTGCATACGTTTTCTTATCAGTGATGACATGGAAGACGATTTTTTCAGGTGAGGAAGATGAGTGGATGGCGGAGTTGACCACCACTGATGCCGCCAGGATGTTGTCGGTTGAGAGGATGAAGTGGTGGTGGGAGGTGGAGGAGAGGAGCGGGAGGAGGTCCGGTGAGGGTAACTGCCGCCTTGCGTGGGCGTTGGAGGAATATTCATCGGTTAAACGGAGGGAAAGACAGTGGAGAGATTTTGGGATTGAACTTGCTGCAATGTGTTTGTTCATTATTTCTGAAAATTTTGATTCTTTAATCTCCTTTTCGGATCTTTCCATCTGAAAATTTTCAATAAGAAAACAGAAATTAAGTTGATGATTATGTTTCTTCATTGTTATGCTTATAACTTATGAGTTTTATCTTACATACCATTCGTTTCAATATAACAGCAAATTCTTTTGCATCATATTTGTTGCTTTTCATTTCTGTGATAAGATGTGTGAAGTTATCAGGGAGTTTTACATCATCTTGGACTTCTACAGAGTTCACTTGATTAAGAAGATTGTAAAGTTCATTAACAAGCCTCTGTTTTAAACATCATTAAAATGATCAGTTTATTATATATATATATATATATATGAAATGAGTCTCATAAAACTAAATGATGAAGAGATTAAGTAGTTGAGTTTTTAGTTTTTAGTTTTTTACCCCTGAATCATCACCCCTCCTAAGAAGCTTTGGTCCCAATCGCCTTCCTAAACAATCTGAAACATTATGTAATTGATTAATAAGACACTGATTTGCATTTGCATGTTTAATATAAACAAATCTAAGTTGTTGTGAAAGAGAAAGAGAAAGAGAAACTTTCATACAGTGATTACAATTTACAAGTACTAAGTTGTTTCAGGTTTTATAGAACATTCAAAGAAAGTTTTTTCTTTTTGGCAAATTTCATGGGTCAAGGGAAGCAAGTAGATAAACGTGAGAGAAGAGATGATGATCTGCATTCTTTACCTAACAATAAAAGTAGGTTCAATGGTTCATAAATTTATAAGTTGCTCATAACTTATCAAGTCACCATTGGTGTAATCAGGAAGCAACAAAACAAAAAAGAAGAATGAAAACACATCAAGATCTACAAAGCGATCTGAGTTTCACATTGAACAGACGTATATGCATAACATAAGATTGATACGAAAAAAGAGTAGAGCAAGTGTTGTACCAATTGAGGAGCACTTGTTGACACCTTCAAGGGTAACAATAGCAGTGAGGATGAAAACGAATGGCAACAAGAAGGCGAGAATGAGGATGGTATGAAACAGAGTACGGTATGAAATATGACGAGCTGCGACCTTGATCTTCATCAATTTAATAAATCCATTGCTGCTCGATATCGTTATACTTCTCATACTAGGTGAGAAGTGTAGCTGCATAATGATCCCCTAATTATTATTTTTTTTTCTCTATCAAAAAAGCCCCAACACCACCGACGACGACGAAGTCTCTCTTCGATTGATATTGTCTAGTGCAAATAATAACTACCCCCGAAAGGGTTTCATCATAATCAGAACCAAAACCAGATTGATGAGATTCGTTGCTGTTTATACTCCAATGATTATGATTCAATCTCTTGCTGCAACACCAATGCATTGGATTGATTTCATCCAAGAAAATCGCAGAAACTAGGGTTTATGAATCCAGATGAAGTTGTATTTATCTGTAACTAAATCAGCAGATGATTCGGTGATGATTGATTAATTTCTCTTGTAATGATCAGAGAGCGAATGAATGGAAGAGAGAAAGAGACGATGTATCTTAGCGAACGGTCGGATGATTCTGATATGCTTTTAATTTACATCAATAACATGGATTATCACTAAAATACCAAAATGATGCATATTTGTCGCAAACTAATCTGTCATATCAAGGATAATGATTTAGGAGGGTAACTGTTATGGCGTATTCACATATTGTCAATTTCTTCATTTTTTACATAAGAAAGAACCTAACTTGTTTTAACTGTGTAACATCTCAAAAATCATGACCAAAAATTTTGTTTTTAACTTAATATTAAAACCATAATTGTCAAACCATTAATTTAATGCTCCGGCATTGGGCCCCGCCCGGCATCAGGTCCCGCCTGGCATCGAGCCCCGCTCGGTATACAGATTTGTCTCTCTTAGGCTCCGCCTGTCTCCGGGCCCCGCCCGCTAAACACATACAATCATATAACATGCTAACACATAAAGAAACATACTCTACTGTATCCCTGTCCTAAGAAACATACACTGCTAATAATGAGATACGGAACCCTGTCCGTACTCAGCTATCTAGTTTATAAAACGTAATTGCAAAACAGTTTTAATCACACACCTCTATGATTAATTGGAAAATAACTCAAAACCAATATTTGATACAATCTTTTCTCATAATCATAAACTCGATTATGAACATGTATATATAGCCTAACAAACCAACTTGTATTAGACTAGGAAACTTATGACCAACTTGCTATAAACTAAACTTTCCATAAATTAGATTGTTTGGTCTCCAAATCGTCATCGGCTTAGGATTCCAACAAGCTAGTGATGAGATACGGGACCTCGCCCACACTCAACTCCCTACCAGGCACATACAAGTATCACACAGACAACAAGTATAATCTAACATGCAAACATTCCTCGGGCGGGGCCTAAGAGAGACAGATCTGTATACCGAGCGGGGCTCGCTGCCAGGCGGGGCCCAATGCCGGAGTATTAAATTAATGGTTTGACAATTATGGTTTTATTATTAAATTAAAAACGAAATTTTTGGTCATGATTTTTGGGATGTTACACAGTTAAAACAAGTTAGTTGCTTTCTTATGTACAAAAAAAAAAAGTTGCCAATATGTGAACACGGATAAGAGGTAGTTACCCTCCTATGTCATTTTCCTTTTGAGTTACCGGTTAAAACAGGTATTAGTCGGTAATATTGGTGTAATTTAAACAGTTAAAACAAGTTAGTTGTTTTCTTATGTACAAAAAAGAAGAAGTTGCCAATATGTGAAAACGGATAAGAGGTAGTTACCCTCCTAAGTCATTTTCCCTCATATTAATATGTAAATACCACTTGTACGGATTAAAATTGTGTTGTAAATTATAAAAACCCCTCATTCACATAAATCGTGAAATTGTGTCGTAAATTATAAAAAGGTTATTGTCACTATAACCCAACAAACTTTAGTACATTTGTTTAAATGGTCCTATTTTTTGCATTTGAGGGACATGTACTTGTGTTTTTATGTTTTAAAAGGTCATTTTTTAAAATTTGAATGGATCATCCGGTGACACCATCCTATCTTGCACTTTGTCAATTCCACATCATTGCCATATGGCTTAAAGAAGTCCAGGTCATTGCCATGTGGGTGTGATAATGTTTACCCTAGTTTTTCATTTGGGCCATCCTACCTTGGAGCAAATTGGTACTCTCCGGTATTGCACTTGTAATATACTCTGCATATTTGAAATCAGAATCAGAATTAATATCAATCTCTTTGAAGATCAGAAGCTTTAATTATTTCATTTTTTTAGTATTCGGTTTCGATTTGTCATTCAATTGAAGAAATCTGTAATAAATTAGTAAATTACCTTGGATAATTTGATCCGTCGATCTTCTTCTATGAATAACCGTCGGTCGGTATACTAGTGACCTTAGATCCGATGATCGGTACTCTCCTTATTTCACGTTTTGATCCAATTTTCCTGAGAACGGAAGAGAATAAACATATTAATTTATAAATTATGAGGCGTATGAAAGAAAAATAGGATAGATTTTTGCTCAAATGTGTACACATACCTTCTCTTGCAACAATGGCAACCGCTTGAACGATTCTCCCTTCCAGATCTATGTAAAGAAGTAGTAGGATTGTCGGCGCTACACCTTCTCTTAAAAAACACCCCTTGGACGCCGTCAACGGCGCATCCTGTTGTTTCTCCTCTGATTGTGAAGAAGTAGAAGTCCCTTGACTGTCGGTGGAAGAAGACGACGACGGTCCGAGCGGAATCGAGCGTGACCGGTGCGTTTTAAGCCAGATACCAGATACCGGTTGCTTGTAATTAGAGGAAACGTTAAAATCATGACTCGTTTACTGAAACATCTGATTGAGATTATCAACAGTTTGAACTCCTACGCAATCGACTGCCATTGCTGTAGAAGAAAAGCTTCATTCTTTCCAAAACCGAAATTCGATGAGAGAGACTGATGAGAGAAAAAAGGGTGGAGGTTGTATTATAAAGGGGCAATTGAAACCTTTGTTCTGTCACATCGGAGATGTCGTAGGGGACATCGATAGAGTTGAACCGAGCACTAATGGGCTCATCGAACCCATTTCCATTGAATTAACAACAACATATCGTGATTTTGGAGAAGGAAGAGTTGATCAGGTATGTAACGACCCAATTTTTAAAAGAAATTTTTCATTTTTAATTAACCAAAACACATTTTCATCAGCCATAAAAACCAGTTATAATTGTTTTCAAACCCATGTCAAATACAACTTTATTTCAAAATATCAGAGTGTCCCATAAAATGCCCAAGTGAGAGTGCACGCCGCGTCATCAAGCCTTGCCCTTGCCCTTAGGCTCAGATGTACTTGAAACAAATCCACAAACTGTAAGCTAATGTTTAGTGAGTTCCCCAGAGTATACCCACCCACAAACCACATATAACATATCATACTAGCTATAACAGTTACACATATCACATAAGCCATGCATACAACAGATAGGGATGCCGTGGGCTCGTCCCCAGGGTCTTACTCCAGGATGTCATGGGCTCCCCACATGGTCTTACACCTAAGTGTCATGGGCTCTCCCATGGTCTTCCATACAAACATACCACATATACCACTAGCATACTTCCTAGTGTTGGATTAGGTGTCTAAGTTCATAACTATTTTTGGGATGTACTTGACCCGGTTGGCATGGTCCATTTGGGTTGCATGACATTGCAACACTTGGATAGACTAAATGACAGAAATTACACTTAAGGATTATTAATATATTATAAGTTCTAATATATTAATAATATTATTTAATTAGTATTGATCA